CGGATATATAGTGAATTATCCGGTGGACCGTACGTACTATAGAACTAGTCTTTTGAACCGACCGGGAGCCGGAAGACATTCGATTCTTGCGTCTTTTATATGAAGGCTCTTTATTCCGACGAAATCAAAGTCGCGACGATCGCTATTGGTTAAAGGACGATCTTAAAAATTAACGCGACGATCGCATCGCTATTCAGATCAAGTATGACAACGATAGTAGTGCAATGATGGCAAAGAAATCTGTGCACTTTCAGAGTCTTCGTTTCGCTTATTTACCCTGTTTTATTATTATTATTATTATTATTGCCCCCGCAGGGATTTCGGCCAGAAGGCGAAATCCCGAGGATGCACTCTAGTAACTCGCGCGTATATTAAGGAAAGTACTTACAGTTGAAATATACAGTCATACAGTCAATATAGAAAAAATCTCGATTTGCTTGAACAGGGGCCGCGAGGAATCGGTAGGTAAAGATGACGTTTCTATTGTTTGCGCCCGCAAGTACGAAATGGTTAGGATGACGTAAAACACAAAAAATCCCGAAGGGACCGCTTACAATAGGTAGATTTTGTGACATTAATTGTTAGACTGCAAAACAGTGGTTTTTTTTTTCTCAAAATCAGTAAAGAAATCGGTAAAGCTTGGCGTAAGAGTCTTACGCGCGCGTAGCGCGCGAGCCTCACACCCCTGTAAGGCTTGTGAGCGTCTCTCGCCAGTCTCGCTCTCTGTTTTCAGCCTCGTTCCAGACCTTTTGTTTGACTGCTCGCGTGTACTCGAAGACGCAAAAATACGGACTGTTTTGCAGTCTATTGTGCAGTCATACTTCGATACTCTTTTGCGTTACGTGTTATCAGTGACATTCTGTGCAGCAGTTCTTATGAAAGTTATGGACCAAAAGACACTCGTTAAGCGCAGATGAAGTTATAAGGTGACTAATGTGCGTATAACAGTGTATATTTTAACACCAAGTGAGTTTGCCAGACAAGAGGTCACAAATCTTTGATTGGAAACCTTGCCAGACACTCTTCCTCTTTCTTTGACCGGAATAAGACTCGGCCCCAAACAAGCAAGACGAGTGAATGATTTAACGGCTAGCTTATCACTAGCAGAACGATGGACGATTACAGAAATTCGCCGACCATCAAATTCTGTGCTGACTTATTCCCTGCTCACAGATGCCCTTCCACTATATAAGTTTAAAATAAGACTAGAATACGCGAGCGTGAATTGATCAAACGTCCTTTTAATTTTTAAGGCTTACTTTCCAGCAAATAAAATGAACTTAATGTAAAAAGTGAAATAGAAATAACGAAAAATTAAACTTCTGATCAAATCTTTTCTTATGGTTTAGAATAACTAATTCTCGAAACTGAAAATGTTTTGATCAAAGCTGTGTAAATCAAACCGAAACTGCGCATGGAACCTTGCGTTTATTTCCTGTATTTATCTCACCTATTGTATGGAATATTTGTGAACATCTTCATTATGAATCCGTATATTTCAAAGACGGCTACACAACGAGCAGGAATGCTATTGACCGACAATATAGAGAGCGGGGGCAGCTGTAGTGTTAACTATACCTAGTTATTATTATTATTATTACTATTACCGTAAAATTCCGAAAATAAGCCCCCCAAACCGGTAACGCAGAAAACCCTCCGTTAAATCGCCTCAACAAATATAAGCCCCCCGGGGGGGGCTTGTACTTGGAAAATTGCCCTCAAATACAAAGTAAAACAAAGCAAAAACGGTAAACTTACCTTCAACTCAGCCTTCAACTATAAGGCTACCCCAATCGATTTCCCTCCGTAGATAAGCCCCTCCAAATATAAGCCCCTCGATAAATAAGCCCCTTAAAAAGGGCCTTTGAAAAACGTAAGCCCCGGGGCTTATTTTCGGAATTTTACGGTATTTTCTCGTTTCCTTCGTCATCGGTGTGGTTGCTCAAGCTTGCTCTTGATATGCGACAATTTCGTTGAAAACGAGGCGATTTGATGGAAAACTCGCCCCATATGCATGTAAGGCAATCGACCAAGGCAGTCTTGGATTCTGGCATAGACTACACGCCATGGATTCCGGTTTCTTTTTCAGTGGAACTTGGATTCCGGATTTCAATCGTTGATGGGATTCCGGATTCCAAAACCCAGGATTCTGAATTCCACAAGCAAAATTTTCCCGAATTCCGGAAGCCGGGTTCCCTTACATTAGAGAGCTTTAGATTCTAAGACGAGTGCGACTACGAGTACGAGATTTTCTTAATACTAAGTAGTGCTTGCGCTAGCGTCATTTTGGCGGGAAAACGTGGTAGCCGTCGTCATTCTACTACGAGTTTTAGCGAGAATGTCTTAATGGCGGAGAAGAGTTATCAAATGTTAGAAGTTTTATCATTTTGCGATCGAGAAAACGCGTAACCTCCTTCACTTAAGATAACAGTGCTAACTTTTCGAGTGAAATATGGTAAACTAAAGCTTTCGGGAAGTCTATATATATTTTGAGAATACGCGAAAAAACTTTAAGTCACATCTCGTACTCGTAGTCGTCCTAATCCTCAAATCTAAAGGTCTCTATTAGTATAGGTAATAGCATGATTTGTAGTGATATTTGGCATAAATACCACGAGTGATATTTCGAAATTGTTATACGTAATTTCACGAGCCGTCAGGCGAGTGAAATTTGAGACAATTTTGAAAATATCACGAGTGGTATTTATGCCAAATATCACGTACAAATCATGCTATTATTTGTTTATACTACTACCCGCAAAGGTTTTGTAATTTTCACATGTAGGTATTTCAAATTAAGCTGAAATACCACTGCTCTAAGCCAATCAAATTGCAGAAATTTCTCGTGCAGTAGTATAATGGAGAAAAACACGCGACGAAAGTTACTTGGTCTCCATAGAGGTGCTCTATATTACAGTATAAACATGATTGGCCCAAGGTCCACCTTCGCCATCAGCTCCACAGTCGTTAGATTCCCCATATTTGTCAAAAGTCTGTGGAGCTGAAGCATTGGATGCACACCAGCCGCTAGCCTGAACACCAAACATACTGTAACCTGCTCTTATTGCAGCAACCGCACACTTGGCAATAGCATTTTTTCTAACGTGGAACTCTCCGTCCAAAATAGGATCCATCCCCTCCAGGGGTGAAATTGCTCGATCGCTGGTATCTCTGTAGCATCCAACGCTGTCATATCCTGAAAAATTGAATTTGCGATGGTACTAGTTAATAACCAAAAAATACGAAAGGAATGCGCAACCGAATTTATGACGCTGGCTGACTACGTTATCCCGCGTAATTAAGCACCGTCCACACGTGTTCAGGTTTTATTCAATTCGCTACTTCACAGAAACCTTGCTTTGTTACATCTTCGCGTTTCGTTATTACCATTTATTGTTTTGTTGCAAAATAAACAAACTACACTTGTTGAAAATGGTGAAAATTTAATAAGCGCCCAGCCTCGAATAAGTGCCCACTCTCAAGGCCCAAAAATTTAATAAGCGCCCAGGGCGGTTAATCGAATAAATACGGTAAGCAAAACTTTTGCCGTTATACAGAAAGAGATCTGGTCCCAGTTGCGGTCAAAAAGGTAGAAAGTGCTATCCAATGGATAAATTACTATCCAAAGGATAGCGCACAATTGGTTCTCGTAATACTCATCAACCGAATAGCAATTTTCCAGGTGGAAATCGCTTTCCAACGTTTGACGATCAGCTTCTGCAGTATGTTTGAGATCTTGTTTCCCACCTACTATCCCGCGATTTCTATTGTTCAGTGCGACTCTGGTTGTGTCGCGAAATTCTCTCAACTGCTTCATTCCGTAAGATGATTGTTGCAGTCTGCAAATCCTAAGGTGCTACTTTAGATCGGGGATATACTACTGAGACCGTGGAACCCTTATAGTCTATAGCAGATCAAGAGATCCTCTCTTGACTCTTACCAGATTTAGTTTAGCTGACTTTTGTTACCCTATACCTGACTATTAAAACTCCCAAAATCCTTACCATCCTTGAGTCGCTATTTCCAGACAATACCAAAGTCGACGCTTTTGCTATTAAACTGAGTTGTCAGCAAATTTGAATTTTCTGATTTCATCTTTTAGGTGTCAATTCGCAGTTTCCCAAGTCCAAGCTAAAATCATCAACCATTTGTTCAGTTTCCTGGAGAATGATACCCAGTTCTAGACCAAAACGCCCTGAATTCTATGACCCTATCCATGACTAAACTGCTTGAAACCACAACCCTCAGAGTGGTACATTAAACATCTTTATTGAATGAGGCTGAGGTTGATGTGAATAATTATGCGGGTTGAGAAGAATGTTATTGGCCGAGGTGGATAACAGCCTCCGAGATCAGCATAATTCTTCGCATCATACGAAAGCCCAATTCAATAATTATTTTATCATTCATTCAAAATATTTCTTAGTTCTAGTATAGTGAGCATAAATCCTCGTACACTTTGTTGAAAACTTAGTCTTTGGTTTTATGGAAAGCCGAGAACGCCGTTTATTAGTTTAGTATCACTTAAGCAGCCTCGTTTTCAGGCAAATATACCATCGAACAACCTAAATATACCATCGCATCGATGATACATTGCTCGCATCTTCCAAATATGATAAGCGCCAGTTGCTTATGAAAAAATGGCCAGAAGATTGGAGCCAATCAGAGACGGTGACATATTTTGGATGAACAATAAACCTATGTAGCCCATATATGGCAATGCTCCTCCCCGGAGCGGTATTTTTTTTTTTTTTTTTTTACGACCTTTTTATCGTACCTTTGATGTAATAAAC